TTGGGAGGTTGGCTCTGCCCTGGGAGCAGCAGAGGGGTGACTTTGTCCCTCTCGTGCATCCCTGTCCCTAAGAAAAACCTCCCAGTTCAAACCTGGGGGTTGCTGCTGCCATGGCAGGGGGGAGCCACCTCCCAAACTCACTCAGCATCGTAGCTGCCGACGTTTGAAATGTGGAGCTGAGCTGATAGGGGCACACAAAGAGCTCTCTGTGCCTCTCAGGGCACCCAGAGCCTCCCCAGGTACCAACCATGGGAACTGCAGGGAGTGTTTTAGCCCAGGAAGGCAGCTGAGAAAACAGCATTGTGACCACAGCCTGGGAGTTCGGGTTCACTCTTTAAAAGGTGTTTTTAGCAGAGGTTGGGCTTCTCTCTCTCTGTTTGTCTGCTCGAAGGAATTGTACAGCCTGCACTTATTTATTATGGTGCAGCTATAAAGCCCCCTTTTCCTCCTGCCTGGGGATGTTTCGTGGCCACTTTCCAGGCAAACTTGCCCCGAGGCTCCTCACCGAAAGGTCTGAGGCAAGGAAGTCCCCTGCCCATGAGGAGGAGGATGGGCCTCCCTTGCCTTCTCCATCCACCTCACCAGCCCTCCTCCTGCACTGGAGATCCCTTTGGAGCCCAGCTCCCTTCTTACCCGAGGACATATTTCATCTCCCAGCAAGTCCAGCTCTCCCGGACTTTTCCTTCACCCCTGACCCCAGGCCTGTGGCAGGAGCACCTCAGGTCCAGCCCAACACCCTCAGTGGGGCTTATGGGAAAGCACTAGGCAATGCTGAGTGTTATTTTATGGTTCCTTTCCACTGTGCCAGGTTGCTCAGAGCCTCATCTAAGCTGGCCTTGGACACTTCCCATAACTTCTCTGGGCAATCTGTGCCAGGGCCTCACCACCCTCACAGTAATGAATTGCCAGTTTAGCTCTGAATAGGGTGAATTTTGCAACCTCTTTTGTCCAGTTCTTCCAATGACAGTAACTCCTGTGTAATTTTTCCCTAATTTTGGTGGTTGGTTCGTTGGTTTATTATTGTCAGCATCATTATTATACTTGGCTAAGAAGTAAGTCCATAAGAAAAGAAATTAAAGAAATCACGTCAGGCACTTTGGAACATAAAATCACAACCAAAGGGAGAGGAAACCCTTCTAATTGAGAGCTCCTGGTGGGGTTTTTTTTGGAGCAGTTGGGAAGAAGCAAAAGCCGTTTCTCAAGGCTCAACATGGACCAGGCACATTCACATCCAGGCTGAGAGTCACCTTTTCCTTTCATGTCCTCTCTGACTCCTCACAGCCCCTCCCATTCAAGTGGAAGAGCAGCTTGGGCTCACGTGGCACAACTGGGCTCCAGCAAGGCTAAAACCCAGAAATGCCCTATGGAAGCAGTAACAAGACCTTTAAGAGGAAGAAAAGGCCACATCACATCCTCCCATGCACCTTTGCCTTCATCCCAGATTTTGTTGATGTGACAGGTCCATCCTTCTGCCACTGGTGGCCTCCTTGCTCCTCGTGCTGATGTGGCTCCCCAGGGTTGTATCCTCAGGGATCTGCTTGGCTTTTCAGCAGCCAAACCCCACTGTGTCATCCCAGACTCCTGAGAAGAGTCATGGCACGTCCCTGCAGAGCCAAAAAACAAACATGAGGAGCTCAGAGAACTCAATCAAGTTGAAAGCTTGAGGCTTTCCTTCCAATGCCTGAGAAGTAATTTACCATGTGAGTTTAGTGTCCTTAATCCTCCCTGAGGTGCACGGCACACATTTTGGGTGAGACCTCTTTACTTACAGAGTAACCACTGGCCACTTAATTACATGGCAATTACCATATGGTGATTAGATGATTACATGATTAGCAGTGGAATAAGGAAGCCTGGGGAGTACAATGTTACTGACAGCTAAATACAGCGTTAAGATTTTTATTCCTGAACTCAAAATGCCATTTACTCGCCCATCAATCTCAGCCAACTGCACGTTCTGGAGGCACCACATGTGGTTTACTGAGCAGTGCAACGTTTGGGTGATCCCCTGGGGGTGGCTGCACAGAGACAAACAGCTTTTGTGTAGCACTTGAGGCCCCAGCCATGCCCAGAGCAGGGTTTTGTGGTGCCTCACCATCTCCTTCTGCCTGACAAATGTGATCAACACCCAGAGCGAGCTTCTGGGGTAGCACAGCACCACGTTCTGGTTGTGTCTACAGGTTTTTGGAACCCAACTGCTGCAAGAAGAAGGCAGTAAGAGCAGAGACATCCGAAAGAAGAAAGCTGGCTTGTAACCAGTGCTGGGATAGCCCCAGAAGATCCCACCTCCCAGGTCCCACCTGCCATGGGACAGCAAGGTGGGACCATCCCTTGTGAATGGGCTCTGCCAACCCTGCTCACCTTCTGGGCCTTCACAAGGTGTCCCTGGGGCTCTGGTGCTCAGGGGGGTCACCAAAAGCAATGCACATGAGCTGCTGCCAGTGGGGCAGGCTGGGGACACCTCCTCACCTCCCTCCCAGGACCTGGCCATGCTCTTCCTGAGGCGGCCACGGCTCACCAGCCACACAGAGGAGACCTTTCTGACGGGCTTCTCATCCCTTTATTTCTCTGAAGCTGATTTTCCCGCCTTGTTTCCAATCCCCACAGCACCCTCCCCTCCTCTGCTGAGGCTGGGACACAACCCCACACCTCCCCTGAGCCAAACATGCCCCACCCAGCTCACCTGCAGGGGAACAGGGGCAGCTCCACCTCCACCAGGTGCCACCCCAGCACCCACCTGGATTCCCAAGGTCACTTTTAAATCCCCCTTGGACTCCAGGAGAGCACATTCCTTGGAGACAGGATGGCTGGGAAGGACCTGGGGGACCCAGGCAGTTCTGTAGCAGGCAAGCCCACAGCCCCAAACACAGGAACCTCAAGCTCAGCCCATCGCCCCCTTCCCTGCTGGGATGTTGTACCTCCTGTGCTGCACCAGAAATTCATATAAATAAACGTAATTACTGATTATAAAAAAACCCCATATAATTATGGGCAACATGTAGGGGAAAAAAACCTATCACCCCCTTCCCTGCTGGGGTGTTGTACCTCCTGTGCTGCACCAGAAATTAATATAAATAAATGTAATTATTGATTATAAAAAAAAATATAATTATGGGCATCATGTAGGAAAAAAAAACCAAGAAAAATTACCCCCAAACTCCCCCAAAAATTATTAAAAATAGGTGGGCAGGTCCCTTGCTGTTGAGAGTGTGTGGTATTTATTAGACATAAATTGGCACACAAAAATAGGAAATTGTATCCAGGTAGGCATTATTTTTTCTTCTGAGCTACATGGCTGTGGATACCTGTCTATATTCCCTCCCACACACATACCAGCATTCCCACACATTCACACCCACATTCCCAGTGGCTGACACACAGGTATAGCTCTTTTTTTGTTAATTAGAATTACTTTTAATTAAAAATATATGTAAATTAGATAGAGTGTGCACAGCTTGGAGAGAGGGGAAAAAAAAAATAAAGAAGAAAAGAAAGCAAACTTCCATTTCAATAAAAATTTTAACCTCTTTGAGTGAGCTGCTTTGCTGGCTTTGTGACACAGTGTGAGTTATTGGAACTCCCACGTATAAATAAATAGGACCAGGGAATTTTACACCTGAAAAATTCTGCAGTAGACATTTTTACTTACACACATTTGCTTTTTCTTCTCTTCTTGCCTCCCCCGCTCCCAACCTCTCATGATCATTTTCTGCCCCCTTTAAACCCATTTCATTCATATCTCACTTCACATACCCAGTCTGGGATACCCCTTTTTTTTTTTTTTTTTTTTTTTTTTGGAGAGGAAGAAAAGAAACACGGGACAAAATCAAAGTGTCAGGGACTGCAAACGAGCGTCATCATCGTTTTTATGAGCAAACTTTTTCCTTTCCCTGCCTGCATCCTCTCCCCCCCTGCCCTCCCCAGCTGGCTCAGAGCTTTGCTTTCCACATTCCTGTAGAAATGTAGCAGGAGTCAAACTGGGGATGTTTTCAAGCTTGGAAATAACCCCTGTGCTTCCGTCAGAACCAGCTGATGGACCAGGAAAGACCAGGAGATGGGAAGGAAAGAAGAGTGAGAGAATTGCAAGTTGGAAAGGAGATGAGTTTATGGGGATGGTTCCTGCAGAGATATGTTTGGAGACATTTATGAGGAAAGATTTCACTCTTGGTACAATGCCTGGGTGAGGTAGGCACTGGGTTTTATTTGTGGCTTCTCAGTACCTCTTTCTGTTGGAAAGTAAGAAGGATAACACTAATTAAAAAAAAAAAAAAAAAAAAAAAGAAAGAAAACCCTCCAAAATCCCCCCTTGGTAAAAACAGGCCGGTGTCTTTTTTCTTTTTCTTTTTTTTTTTCTTTTTTTTTTTTTTTTCTGAGAAAACTGAAAGAAAATAATATATATATTATTATTTATTATGATAACATGTCAAATCAACACCACAAAAAAAAAAAAAAAAAAAAAAAGGTAACATCCTAGTTGTTTTCTTTCAAGCATTCTGACCGTGGTGAGAAAGGCAGCAGGAGTTTGGTGTCCCTTGGAGAACAAAAAAGAGCAGGAGGACGGGAGCGGGGCGGGAAGGGAGGGCGGGGGACGAGGGCACGGGGCTGGCGGTGGCAGCAACACAAACTGGGTGGGCCCGTGGCAGGGGAAGAATTTTGTGCCAATCTGTTGGTTTTTCTTTTGAAACAAAAGAAAAAAAAAAAAGGGGGGGGGGAGGAGGAGGAAGGGGGCAAGTCACACCGAGGCTGATGCCTGTTTTCATCCGTGCTTTCAGTCAGTGTCCGTCCCTCTCGAGTGCTAGCGGTGAACATTCAGTTAAAGGAGTCTTGCAAAACATCCTCGCTTTTTTTAATTTTTTTTGTTTAATCAACAGGGGTTTTGGTTTGGGTTTTTGGTTTGGTTTGTTTTTTTTTTTCCTTTTCCCGTTTTTGTTTTTTTTTTTTTTGTTTGTTTGTTTCCTTCAGTTTTCCCGTGGCTGAGGCTCTCTTGCACTTCTCCCTTGTTAGCTGTTCTCGCTCCACTCTGGCACCATGCCCACGCCGTGCACGGAGTGGTACTGGTGGGGCGACAGGGTTCGGGGCACGCCGTGGGAATACAGGAATTCCGCGGGCTGTAGGCTGCTGGGAGGGGACTGGATGCCACTTTGAGGTCCACACTGCCTGACAATGGGCTGGTGAGAAACAGAGGTCTGGTGCTGGAACATGCTGTGGGTGTCTCCGAGCTGGGGGGACGTGTGGTTGGCCACGCTGCCCAGCCGGGGCATGAGCGGCCCCGAGGTGAAGTGGGCAGAGAAATGCTGGTAGGGTAACCTGTCCATGGGCTGCATGGCAGACACTGTGCAACTGCTGTAGGAGGGCACGCTGGGCCACGTGTTACAGCTGATGTCCTCCAGGCTGGGCACGGGGTCCGTGGGGGGAGCGGAGCTGGCGTACATGCAGGCCTGGCGCTGGGCGGACTCAGTCCTGTACGACGTGTTCAGTCCCTGCTGCTGGGGGTAACTGGACCTGTAGAAGGGATCCTCGTCTGCTGGAGAGGTTTCCATGTAGGGCTTCTTGTAGGGGTGCTCGGTGGTGGAACATTCCTCATCTGTTGGGAACAGAGAAGTCCTGGTAGCGAACAACGCCGTGCCCTCGGCTGAACCTCCCTCTCCACAGCCCTCGTTTTCCCCAGCACACAGCCTGCTCCAGACACTCCTCTTGGTGCAAATCCCCCTCATTTCCCTGAGCTGAACCAATCCTGCTGAAACCGAGTCTTCCACTTGGCCCTGCCTGCTTGGGCTGGGGGAGAGGTTAGCCAGGAGCTCGGGGAGGAAAATCAGGGAAGATGCTGGAGGGATCCTGAGGCTCAGCTTGCTTGGTGATGTCCCCTACACACCCCACAAGCTCCTCATCTCCTCCCTGCTGCCAGCACTGTGACCTGAGGAGTAACATCTCCCTGCAGACCTAACAGAGGTCCCCAATCCCACTCGAGAGGCTCAGAGCTGATGCTGTTAACCAAAAGCCTTCACAGTGACACATTTTCATGATTAAAAAAAAAAAAAAGACACAAAAATGGAGATGACAATAAAAATCCCCCCCTCCAGGAGAGCAGCAGCGATGGCACAGTTGAGACAATCAGATTTGGAGTTTTTCAACCCTGGTTTTCAGCTGTGCCAAGGCAGCTGGGCACATAAATCCACACAGGGCCGCGTGCTGGAGCCAAGGGGAACAAAAAAGAAAAGTAAATTTCACAGCTAGAAACAACATGGCACATCTTGCAGAGCCCTTTGTTTCCTGCAGCATCCCGGGCCAAGAGGAGGAAGGAGATAAACAATTTAGGTGAAATCTCCAGGGCGAAGCAAAATGAATAAATGAATGTGCACTTATTTATTCATCCGCAGGGTCATCAAATGAAATCCAGCCCTGCTGGAATGGATGGCAAAGTTCCCAGGGACGAGCACTTCACCAAGAGATTTTAAGGACAGCGTGGCAAGGGAAGGGGAGCTTGTTCTGACACGGATTAGCTTTGCTGCTGCTTCAAAAACAAGATTTCTGGTGCAGGCAGAAAAACATCCCGCTTTGTCAAAGCCCTCCAGGATGCACCCATTTAACGGGGGTAAAATTTGAAAGAATGCCACACAAAATTCTCCTTTCCAATTTTGTTTTTCAACCCCAAAATACAAAGGGGAAAAAAAAAAACCACAACAATTTCACAAAAAGGAGGACCAAGAGAATCTGCCCCACCAGATGCACAGGGGGTGCTGCCAGGCTGCTCCAAGGTGTCTCACCTTTGGGAGGTGCAGGTTTAGTGTATTGTAAACACACACATGCACACACCCCTTATTGCTGTAAACAGCCATGTGTGTTCTCCTGGAAGCTGCATCCACTCTACACGTCAAATAACCCATTATTCCCACTCAGGTGTCTTCCAAGTCTGGCTGGAACAACTGCTGCTGTTCATCTCGGTCCAACAATCCCAAAAAACAGCAGGTACTGAGGTACACACTGTGGGGACATTCCCCTACGTGTCCTCTGGCTTTGTGACAGCACTGCCCAGAAATTCAGTGCAAACCCACAATCCTTTCTTTTTCCTTCCTGAAAAAAAGCAAAACCTGACTCTTTCACTCCAACAATGCAGAGCCCTGATAACCAAGTCACCTTCCTCCTCTGCTTTCTTTTTAAATCAGGGTGGAAAGTAGGATGGAATAAGTGAGCAGTGCAATCCCATCTTTAAAGCAGCTGAAACAATAAGCAGGGAGATGCAGAAATGTGTCACCCTCCCTAATGCTGGTCAGGTCCATCTGGTGTGGGAGCAGTGGGGAGGATGCAGTGCCCTGGAAGACAAAAGCTGGAAGCACAGGTCTGACCCCTCTCCTGCTCCCTCACGGGAGGGACATCTGGAAGAGCAGCCCCAGCTCCAGCTTTCACGGGCAGCGTAAAAGTTTTGGATCCCCAACCCACCACTGAGCAATAAGAGCACTAGGGTGGAAAAACAATGTCTTGTAAAATGCAGCATTGTTCTGCTAATAAAGTTTTCAGCATTAAACCGCATCCCTCTGCTGGCGTTAGAAATCATTGGCTTGGGGTTTGACTGTTTATTTTATTTGTATTTTTTTTAAATATACAACACAAACCAGTCAAACTCTGTTTTTCCGTGCCTGACTTACAACCTGAGGTTGCTGATTTTTCCATTTAGCCCAGACATTTCTCTGCCTGCCAGGGCACAGCCAGGCAGAGCCGCTTCCAGGATTCCCCACAGGTGAAGAGAGGAAAACAAAACCAGTCAGAATTTCAGTGGACACCCTCTAGGTGCCCTCTATCAGCTGGTCTCTCTAGAGCCAGGCTGGCTGCTGTTGTATGTGGAAAAGGCACCATTAGTCCACATTTTAAGATGTGTAAGGACCCTGTACCCATTTCCAAATGGGACATAGTCACTAGTAAAGGATTACATCCTACCCTAACAGCTTTTGCCTGCCCTTTGGCCCCTCTTCCTGGTGATTTTCCCCATCTATATAACCTCAAAGTGCTAGAGAAAGGGGAGAACAGTCTGTCTGCATCATCAGGTGGGATCATGCAGGCCAGAGAGGTGCCAGCTGATGGAGTTACACTGTCCAGGCTCTCCAGTGGGACCTGGCATTGTCCCCCCACCCCTCACAGAGGAGACCAAAGCCAGCACAGAGCAGCAAAAGGGCATCTCATGGTGTGTGGGACAGACCTCGGGTGGAAAGGGGCCATCTTCAGGTGAGAGAACAGCAAAAGGAGAACAAGGCAAACAGATCTCACACACAGTGCTGAAGGCTGCAGTTTAAATTCATCCCCACCAGTTCTGGAGCCTGGACAGCCCATCCCAAGGCCATAATCCTCTCCCTGAAGGTCCTCTCACCTCCTCAGCATCAGTGTAAGCAGGACATGGGAGATGCTTAACTGCCTGCTCTGGGTTTGATTCTCAGTGTTGGTTCCCTGATGGCAACTCATTGTCCTTTTCCAGTTGCCACTGAGCCCTTGGAGGTGTTGGGCACCCTGTGAGGTGCTGACCATCCTGGGAGATGCTGACCATCCTCCACTTTTGTTGGTGTTCTTGGAAGCCAAGGGTGGCAATCAGCTCCTGTGACCAGCCCCTCGACACTGCACAAACCTCAAAAAGCAGAAGGTTCTGCCAAGCAGGGGAAGCTGCCAGAGCCAAGGAGAAGCTGCTCCGAAGTGGATCCAAGGAAAACGGAGCCTGCAGAACGGGCTGGAAACTGGCTCCCTCACAAGGAATTTGATGATCTATCTAATGAAGGAGCTCGAGCAAGAGCGTAAGCAGTTCCAAGATTTCCGGTATTTACTACTTCCAGCTGGGTTGTAAATACCACACAAATGGCTCTTTAAATGGAATTTTCCCAATTCCAAGATTAGGGCTGTCCAGAATGAGATGCAAACATGTGAAGTCTCTGGACTTCAGGGTGCACTGGGCCCACCTCTTCCCTTGGTGTAAATCAGGAGAGCTCCTTTCTGATTCATGACAGTCAACTTTCCCAGGACAAAAGACAATGGAGAATGGGACGTGACTGGTTTGATTTTCAAAGCTTATCCACGCTTCCAGGGCATTACAGGAGGCTCATCCCAACTTTGTGAGGGAGACACAATGGGTGATTATCACCCACACAGTCTGGATTCTAGCATGGATCTAGCACAAGCCTGAATAGTCAATACAAGGGTGCAAGGCTGACAAGGGGTGTCCAAGAAATAAAAAAAGAGGCAGATTCAATCAAAATGAACATCCCTAAAGGGAAAACAAGATGTGCATCCTAGGACATGGAACCTAAGACATGCCAGCTACTCCAGCTATCACATCACTGGATATGGATGTGTTGCATTGCAGGGAACATGACACAAAGGGTTGTAGGGTAAGGACAATCCAATATCAAAAGCTGGAACCTCTTCCAGAGCTAGCAAGTTGCCAGCACTGCCTGCTGAGACACAGGAGGCACCTCTGATGGAGAGTGAGATCCCAGAGTCACAGGATGGGTCAGGTTGGAAGGCACCACAGTGGGTCATCTGGTCCCACCTTCCTGCTCCAGCAGGGCCATCCCAGAGCACATGGCACAGGATTGCATCCAGACAGTTCTGGAATGTCTCCAGTGAGGGAGAATGGCACAGGGTTGCATCCAGACAGTCCTGGAACATCTCCAGTCAGGGACACTCCACGTCCTCTCTGGGCAACTTGTTCCAGTGCTTGGTCACTGCACAGTGAAGAAGTTCTTCCTCATGTTCAGGTGGAACTTCCTGGGCATCAGTTCCTGCCTTTTCCCCCTGTCCCATTGCTGACCCTGCCCCCTCTCAAGCAGAGCATGATCCATCCCCTGACCCCTCCCTGCAGACACTGACAGACATGGATGAGGTCCCTCTCAACCATCTCCTCTCAAGACTGAGCAGGCCCAGCTCCCTCAGCCTTTCCTCATAAGAGGGATACAAAGCTGCTTGAGCTACAGTGCCACACAGCAAAAGCTGGGTGCCTACCAGCCCCCTGAATATCCCCTCACCACGCAGGCAGGCTCCTTTTGCCCCAGCAGGCACCTTGCTCTGGGCTCCACTGCATCTATCCAAGCTACAAACACCTCCAGCTGCAGCAGCTCAAGCCTTGGCCAACTCATTGCATCTCCAAACATCAGCTGGATGTTTGGAGCAGCACGTCCTCCAAGAAGACACCCCACACCTGGATTTTGTCCTACAGATTCTTTGAGTGAAAGAAGAGCTGGGTGGGACGTGGGAAAAATCAATTCAGTCAACAAAGAGGTCTGTCCACTCTAATGGTGCCTGTTCTGGAGGAGGAGGAGGAGGAAAGGCATTGCTGGACCTCCACCAGCCTCATCAGAGCAGGAAGGAGAGGAAAGATATATTCTTCCCCATGGTGTCCTGCCCAGGTTAGGTGGCTGAAGGATACGGTCCTTGCTGGTTGGAGCCGGCAGATTCTGCCACATCCCTCTTCTCCCTCAGAATGCCAACATGACAACTTTTATAACCTCCCCAGGGAGAGGCTGTTCCAGTTGCCTCCTGTCCAGCATCACAAGCATCCCAGAAATCTGCCAAGTGGTTGAGATTGTGTAAGGCTGGGAGGGAGCAGAGGTTTAGAGGGATGACTATTTAATCCACAGGAAATCTGAGGGAGAGGATAATACAAGAGAAAACAAGCCCCAACACCCTAACTGGGATGTGGGGCTAAATGAAAGACACAAAGCAAGCTGCCTGCTGGGAAGTCTTTTTGGGCTCCTCCAAGCACAACAATGAGAGAGGGAGAGGTGGAGAACAACTGGGAGAAAGACAAGGCTCTAACTGGTCTTTGTTGCAGCCTGAAAATCCACATCAAGAACTGAGGCCACTCCTTGGTAAGGTACAGGACTGGAGTTAATCCAGTGCCATAAGCAATCTCAGCGTGGAGCTGGGACACAACACAGGATGATTCTCCCCATTCCCTGTGCCTGGAGCAGCGGCCCTGTTGCAGCACACCGGGGTCCTTCCCAATGCTGTGACCCTGCACTCCCACCTGCACACCAGTGATCACCAGATTTGGAGCTCTGGGATGTGTCCTTCCTTCCTTCCTCACCCAGGAGAGCATCACCTCCCCGAACCAGAGGAGCCTTCAGAGATAACATCCCCTCACAGCCCTGCTGCTCTCCCCTAATGTAGCTCCATATCAGATCTCCATGGTGAATCCATCTTGACTTGACAGCTAAAAACAACACTGTCAACCACAGAGCACAGTCCTTGTCTGAGGTCACCAAGGAAGTAGAAGTTGAATAGGGTTCCTTTGAGTTGCTTGAACACAGACCTGTTCCTAACTGAGCCTAAACTGAGGCCTGACCCCAACTGAAAAGGATATGGAGAAACCTCGTGAGATGTCCAAGATGGAAGGAACTCCAAGGAGAGACCCTCTTGGAAAACAGTGGTGGAACTTACTACAGAAGATGTAGACACCAGCTGGTCTCAAACCCAGCTGAATTGCCTTCTGCCCCTGAGAGCATTTATCCATAACCACTGCCCTGCAAAAAGGAAATAATCCGCTTGAGATAAATCCTAAACTGACTGAGGAGGAGTCGGTGTTTGGGGAACGGATAATCCAGCAAAATCAATAAGATTTCCAGTCCAGAAAATGGACAGAGGAAAACAGGAGCAAATATTCTTTTGCTTTCAGGTTTTCTTAGCTGTTGAGGCTTGGTGGGAGTTATGCAGAATTGTAGGAAAACTATGTGGGAAAGCTCAGAGACGAGAGGCTGGAAAAGGAGGAAAAGAGGAAGATTATATGTAGGGTTATTTTCCCAGCTCCAACAAAGATCCTTGCTCGGTGCTAGAAGGAAGTGCCACGCTCAGTCAGAGTCCGAGATGAAACCTTGGATCACGTTCCGATTTATCCAAACAGAATTGCTCATCTCGAGTGACTTTTTTTTTCTTCTTTTTTAATTAATTTCACTTCGCAAAGAGCTGCTTGGCAGCTTGCTCCGACTCTCTGTTTCCCATTAACTTTGTGTTTCTTTTCTTTAAGCCCTGGTGGCTGTTTTCGATTTACTGGATGCACGGGGCAGGGA